ATTATGAATTTTAGAGGTATCCGATATAGATCGCGGTCATCTCGCTTATCGCTAAATAGCGAGCGGGAGTTGCTGCTCCCCTGGCTTTTATCGTTCTACCATTGGCCGTTGCAACACGTAATAATCGACGCAGTCTTGCGAGACGGATTAACGATGAACACGGTAAAAAGGAATGTAATCAAGTAATACTTTAGCATTTTTTGCGATAATTACGGGAATTTTTGGAGAATTAGCGTGAATTTTACCGTAATGCGACTCAATTCATTTGTTTAATAATTTCTTGTGAAAATGTTATATATCATATTATTAAATGTTAAGTAATATAAATATAAGGCATATTTTAGGTGAAAAGGAACATGGGAGGATAGCAGAGGAAATAAAATGTAAAGTGATTTAAATACAGCGTTACAATTCAAAGGTAAATCTACATTAAAAATAAATGCCGAATATGCAATGCATCTATATAAATCAATGTGGAAACTTGGATTCGTATGCGTACCTAAAATGTATACAATAAATAAAGTACGTATATTAAAACAGAAATTGAGTTTCAATTTCAACTAGGTGATATCGAATAAGGCTCTGTTTTAATGTGTGTTTTAATGTGTTTATTTCATATTTATATTGTATGTATTTCAATCACGAATACATGTGGAATATGCCAAGTTTCAATATCAATTTCTTTAAAAATGTGTCTTCCGATAAAAAAAGTTACGGTGAATTATTCATTTATTTTTTTCATGCAAATTTATCTGGTTTTGTATAACTCATTCAGAAACATTCTATATAAAGGATTGATCGAAACCAGTAGTCGTGACAACCGTCGACATCTCACAATCAGGTCTGCTCAAGCAGTCGTAAACTGTAGTTTATGGATACCTACACATCATATGCAAACAAATTTCACGGTTATTCTTGTGGTGGATGTCCAGAGATCCCCGGACAATACACTCGATATTTGAACGGAGAGTTTCCTGTTCGATACAATCTTTCCACCCCTTCTACTCTTTCACTACCATCAATATAAATCATTGCGAACGGATGGACGGATAAAACACGATGAAACTATTGTCTAAAACATATTAAGACATGTTTAAATCACACGTTATATGCATTAAAGCTTGATCTTATTACCGAGCAACTATTAATTCATACGCCACATCAAACGCAACCAAACTAATTCCGTGCTATTATTTTATCAATAAGTTGCGGTTATCGTGAATAGGTGGTCCATCATATAGAAATATGTTGATTGCGAGTGTTTTGGTACAATATAGGGGAAGAGAAAATATCATTGGCCCTGGATAAATCATTTGAGAACGTCGAACAAAATATAATACTTTAGAATTACTTTATTTTTGATATATTAATGTCAACAAGTTTCAAGTGGTATCGAAAGTAGATAACGATAATTAGGCACAGAATATTGTTAATAATATACATCCGACACAACAATATTAGGGTATAGGATTTATAGGATATCCCATTGTAATATATAAATGCAATTACCTCTAGCACTATTCGTTATTTAAAAAATGTTTCAAATGCAATTTTTCCTGTTTTGAGGACAGTAATTTGGTACATTTAATTTGTCTCTAACATACGTGGAGTGTGTGAAAGATATGAAGGCCGTTACTATTTTTTCAAGTATAATATAATTATAACTAGAATTATTTTTCAGAAAAAAATTTGTCGCAGTTATGATCGATTCAAATCAAATGACGTAATATTTATTACCTTTTCCGATTGAATGAAATTAAGAAACTAAATATTTGTACGAAATTTAAATAATCTCAGTGTCAAGGCGAATATTTAAACATTTGTGCTATTCACCTGAATCTGGTATCCTAGAGCTATCCATTTTCCGCATGAAGAAAGCACATAGAAAACAAAGCGCGTCACAATTGTGTTCTTTGTTTGGAAGAATTCAATCACGCATTTGTCTCAGTTTCACTGCTCGCGTGCAAGTGAAACTATGTAATACAATCAGTTTCCACGGTATGGTATACCGATTACTTCTGACGGTTCGTTTCGTTGTTTTACTTGCATGTCCACAGTACTGTTACGTTTTCGAAACACGATATTTTTATAAAGCTTAAAAATATTTACGTTAGCTTTCTACAAATACTCGACTATTTCACAAAACAAACGGAATCAAAGTTTTCTGCATGAATATTTTCGAGAAACTACAGATTTTTGGTTCCAAGAAAAAAATTATCGATTGGTACGGCGATAAATAGACCCAGTTTATTACAATTGTTGCACTGGCATTCTACGACGCAATAAAACTTTACGAATTTTATAAAACGCTCCGAAAAAACGTTTTTAATAGTTTAAAACTAAAGAAACACAAAAAGAGATTACTTTATGTTTCACTAATCTCGAAAACTCAAAGTATTTATATACATTTACAAATATCATATAAGATATAAAAGGTTTTAAATAATACACAGTTAAAACATCAACAGTAAACAAGTCACATGATTTGAAATACAGTTATTCCTCCAGCCAGTATTGTCAGAAGGGAATCAAAAGAAAACTGTCCTGTATCAAACATATTGAACAAGAGGTCGATTCAATAATCCGCTGCACAGGTTTTGCAATAAACGCGACCTATTCACGTTCGAAAAGAACAGAACAATCATGTACAAACATTGGCAGTCTTCGCAAGAAGCAATCGTAAAAAACGCAACCGGTACGCAGCTGCTGCGAAAACAAGCATATTATTAACCGTCGACGATTGACGGCGATGGAACCATGAATTATCGATTCCTCGCGGGACACGCATACTCGATTCTCTCCCCCGCTTTCTCTCCTCGTTTTTTGGCCAGTCTCCATCCCCCCGAAGTCAATCCGATGTGCTCGATTGGCGGTGTGATCGATCGATCGGCGAAACTCCCGCGAATACCGCGTCTCCCGTCGCCTTTGACGAGGAATAAGAAAAATAATAGAACGCGTGATCGAAGCAAAATATCTGTGAGCTATATCAGTCCCCTCTTCTCTGCTCCGCTCTCTTGTGCTCGCTCACAAGTTCGATTTTAACGCGCCTAGCTGCGGGGAAAAATATTAACGATAAAAGGGCGAAGTCTCGCGGTAGCCGGTTCCGGTAAATCATCATTCTCCCCGACAAGTGATGTTTTCATCGTGTGTCAACGCGACAACGTTCGAGGAGAGATTAATCGGCGGCGCGTTAAAATGAATTTTTTTCCCTAAAATATGTACCACGGCGACAGGCACGCTTCGGCTCCCACCCCCGCGTGTAAGTGTTATAAAGTTCGTTTATTGGCGTTCCTCGTGCACGTGTACGTCCCTCGCCGCGTCGCCCGCCGACATTTCGTCGGCCGACTTTCGCGCGATAAGTCATCGGTTGACAAGCAATATTTTTATCATTTCTGAAAGTGACATTGCCCAAAGGAAGATTAATCGTCGGGCTGGAGTCCTAGATACTGGAAATGGTTATAGATGGCATCCTGTTAGGTATCTTTGTGCACCCCCTTTAATTCATTCAGCCACTGGTCAGAGGTAGTCCTTTCGAAGTCAGGCATTCCGAACCTTCGTTTTTTTCCTCTAGATCTACACAACATCCCTTTCAAAGACGTCTGTGCATAAAAGTTATATATTCGTGTATGGCCGCTCTTAACCCCTTGACCTACAATATTATGCCAGACTCGTGATAAAAATTTTAAGCTGAATTTAAAGAATCTAAGTGTCATTTATTTTTGTTAAATATAAATCAAATATTACTTTTCTATTGGCAATCGTTAATCTTTGAAGTACACCTAAACATAGAACAAGAATCAAAATTGTTTCTTTTGCTAATGTATCATCAAAATGAAGTAGTTGTATCGAGCATAGTTAAGAAATTAATCATACAGCAGGCAGTTGGTGGAGCGATTTGTCTAATTAATTCCAATAACAAACGAGAAGACCACTGGGTTTTGGTGGGTTTTTACTACCAACGTACAAACAAATTTTCTTATGGTATGCTTGTGGCTTTGTCCAAAGCTCTGCTCGTGGACAACCGAAGCTGCCCTTATCAGGGGAAAGTTTCATAAATCGAGAAATGGCAAACAGTTTTAAACAAAGATATATGATTATAAACAAAAATTTATATTCCGGTCAATTTTTATCTACAGTTTATAACATTTTTATACAATACTAAAAACATGTTAGACTTCTTTTACTACTAATAAAATCGAAAAGAAACTTTTCGCAAATACATGAAGGAACGAAACATCATTCAATGGGTTATATGGCCTCTCATGTTGGCTGCATAACAAGAAACAAGCAACTGCATAACAGAAAATGAAATTCTCTACAGTTTCGACTTCTTCTGTCGTTTTCGGTTTCGTTTCTGTCCTTTGTTATTGTAGCGCAATAATAATGACCACGCGTCGAAAGCCGAGACGGTCCGAGCATCGTGAATCGAAGAGTTGTCTTGTCCCCGTCCACTTTTAGCTTGGTGGCCGATGAAGCTAACGTGACAGGCGTGTAGCGCTAAGGAAAATCTGCAAGGGCACACAATCTTTTCAAACAAGCGATACATACTATTGGAAGATCACTTGGTGTCTAGCGGGACGGTACAAAGACAAAAGGATTCCCTCGCTAGGGATTTTGTTTATGGTTTTGATTGGTTACGTGCAACTGTATTTACCAACAGCAAATTAGTGTCGAAAATGAGATGAGAAAAGATGAAAGCTGACCAGTGAGACCCGCATTTCTTATCCTCGTCATCGAATGATCTACTAACTGTATGCGGCCGTCTGTTAGTTCGTGTAGCGAGTTTTGTTTAAATAAAATTAAAGTGAAACTGATTTTTTGAAGTTGCCTTCTCCGTAACGCTCAACCAGAGTCGCCTCGACGACAATGGAAACGATTCGACGGCTGTTCGGGCGAGGGGTAGTTCAGAACGGCCACCGGCTAATTTGCAGCGAGATTCTATAACGAAAGGGGCCGCTCGGCCGTTTTACTAACCGGCGGTTCCGCCTTTTCTGTTTCAGGGGAATTTTACAGCAGGGAAGAAAGAATTACGAGGAGGCCATTCTGAGTTATCAGCGAGCGATCCATTTCCGACCTTCGTTAGCTCGTAAGTATTTTCATTATTACCCGGCGCGGTCTGACTGAGAAAGCTCGCGATCGAATTCTCGCCTCGGAACTCCACGGTTTTACGGTTTCTTTTACTTTCTTCTTTTTTTTCAATTGCCGGTTCGCCAAGCTACGTAGATCCCGATATCTCTTTATCGCGAGCCACAAAGAAATCGACGCTAATGCTTGGAACTTAAGCTAACGGAATGCGATTTAAGGCGATCCGCGTGTATTGCTAATTGACTGTGATTGCTACTTTGTCTTTTCTGCTTGGGAAAGAAATCTGCGCGGTTCGGTAGAGGCGGGTTTAGAATATCTTTGGATTGTATGTTAGGATGAAGTATCAATAAGAATTGCGTTTAATAGGTGAAAGATGTGGATCATTTATTGACTCGTATTAATTCTCGAGTTGCTAGTCGTGTTCGTAATTTATTGTGGTCATTAAACATACAAATAATTGTTGCAAATCACGTGATGTGTTTATGCAAATCGTGCGTTACAAAGTAATGTGTAAGAACTAGTAGTCAATAAAAATTAATCCTTTAAGGAGGTGTTTAAAATATCATATTCTGAGTCGGAAAAATACTTCTAGGCGTGGTAAAGAAATAATTTTAAATAATGTTTATTAGTGATAAGGACTTATGTTTAGAAAATATGTAGAAGTGATTAAACATCTAGAATTTAGCTGTGCTAACTCTAATTGAATTTTCTTTTAAGTAGGTATTCTTCATCTTAATAAATTGGAATTTCAAGAACACTCAGCTCAAATCTTTACATTGAAGAATTCTGTTTAAACATGGAAATAACGGAACCATTATGAAATCAATTAATATTTATAATATTTTTTACTTTTCTCTTCATATTCGTGTAAAACAAAGATTTGGAATAAATGAGACTTGTTTGCATACACGTATAATGGCAGACACAAGTATTCGTACAATAAAAAAATTATTAAGGAGATAGAAATGTTAGATAAATAATTTTACTACAATGAATTTCATACGGCATTTAATTTCAGTTTAAAATATATGGTTTATATAGCGTAATGTATTAATCGAAATTCATAACAATGTAATTAAAGAACTAGTTAATTTACGAGACAAAGAGTTAATTATTTAACCTTGCCTGTTGCGTTTATCAACAAATTTAATAGTAACGAATGCTTTAGCCAGTCAAAATAATAAAATGTGATGAATTTCTATTAATATTAGTTACCATGTTATAAAACATTAATTTCATTTTCGTATGATTTATGTGAAACAGTAATGTGATTGGAACAAATATCTTACAATATGCATTAAAATAAGCTTAAAATTAGTATTACTTTCAGTAGAATTTTTTACCGGAAATTACTTTGGAAAGTGATTGGAAATTATATGTCCAATATAAATTTAAAGGTATTGTTTTAAAGGTTTCAGATTAATTTCCAATCATTTTCCAAAAGAATTTTTAAAACTCCCTACTTAAATACTAGTATAAATATTAAATTACAAAGTAGGTTCCACTAATATCAACAACCTTAACAAATATCCGCACGAAATCATAATTCAATCCAAGACTATCAAACACATTAGCGAATATATTATTATCGCCTATTCCTATAATTTCTTTCATAACGGTGCTTGATAGAATTGCTTTATCGTTAATAATTTAGTAGGAAACACAAAGAATTTAATACTTATTCCATATCCATGTTTACTCTAGAGGTTAACGATTGATAATTGACAAATAATATTTCATTTATGTTAAAAATAAATACATAACATTTAGATTCGTTGAATTCAATTTAAAACTTTCATCACGAGTCTAGGATGATACTATAGGTCAAGGGGTTAAAGTCATGCGGATTTGTATGAGAACAGGAGATGCATTTTATTATTTATGAAAATATATTTCATTTAACCTGTTTTCCTATAATATCGTACCAGACTCGTGATGAAAATTTTAAACTGAATTCAACGAACCTAAATGTTATTTATTTAATAGAATATACATTAAATATCACTTTTCTATTACCAACCGTTAACCTTTGATGTAAACGTAGACATGGAATATGCATCAGCATTTCTTCTTTTTCTAATAAATTATTAATGATAAAGTAGTTGTTTCGGTCACAGTTTCGAAATAAAAATCAGAGGGTAAAAGGTTAAAGGTAAGTAGTTGTTTCGATCTCAGTTTAGAAATAAATCATAGGGCAAAAGGTTAAAGGTCAATACTCTAGTATTCCTTATTTTACACTAGAACTACCATACCAGTTAAACTGACTGATTTCGATTTGCTCGTTTCGCAATGATTGGTATCTTAAAAGCATTGAATATTTGATATGATTTCGAAAATGAATACTTCCACTTAAATACTATAATCAATGTCCGAAGAAACTGAAAATAATCTAATGCTACAATTTTTACCGAAATTACATATAAGTCACATTAACACTAGAACTACTAAATGGGTCAAAATAACCCATTTCTTGATGTTTACTCCTGCGATTACTGAAAAGGTACAAATGCCTCTTTGAGGAATTACTAAAGAAGCTGAATACCTAAGCAGAAATTTAAATCAATTCAAACCTTAATAAATTCATGGTTGTAGTTTTTGTAAAGAAATTCTCAGACGTCAGTTTAAGGGTTTGGTAATTTTAGTGTTAAATGCTCGGTACTTCTAATGTTAATAAATATTTTCCTTAGCAAGACGGTTCAAACTCAGAGAGAACTTGGTCTCTCAGGGATCCTTCGTGGATTGTATTCTTCGTGGTACCTGTAATTTTTTTCATTGCGCCTTTAAACCACAGGAAATTGTCCCTTGATCTTCAGAGAGGACTGGTATTCCACCGAGATAACCCGTATTTGTTCTTCTTTCTCGCGTTCGGGACTGGCCGCGATTTTGCTAGCGACAAAAGGGTCGGAGTATCGTTACGATTTCTAAGAAACCCATGGAGACCCTCGAGGACTTGGTGCCTGGTAGTGTTTGCCGTATACTCGGAGAAATATTTACCCCTCGCTCTCCGTTGCCGGATATATTGTTTCGAATTAAGTCGAGGTCGAGAGATGGTGGTTCCCGGTCCACGTATCCCAACCACCGTAAATATTATTCCTATTTGTTTCGTCTCCGCAGCAACCGATGTCGTCCACGATTTTTCTGATACTGTATTAAACCTCTGAAATACCTTCCGGAAATATCAACGCAGATTGGACACGTATATACCCCAGCCCTGGAAACGGTTATTTCGTGGAAACGTTCACTGTTCCACGTACGATCGTCGCAGCCTCCGCCGCGATACTTATAAAGGAATCACGCGAAATTGTATACCAACTGTATCAAACGTTTCCGTGCAGCCACGAAACCGGGAAATGCTTGATAGATATTTGACAGCCTTCAAAGAGAAACTTTTCGGTGACGCTTCTATTGAACGCTCTTTAGACAATTTGTATGCGTATTTGATTATACTTGTAGTGTTTTCTGACTGTTTTATACGTTTATTTAAGTTTTAATATTTGGTATTGTATGTCATTTTTATGTTTATTGTACTGTGTTGTTCTTTGATAATCAAAGTCGTTTCAAGAATCGCTTATTGATTAACCACTTAGCTGTGCTCACTTTGCGAGTATATGGTACGTGTAGCTGTTATAATATTGAGTTACGTTGTACCCAAATAACTGTTTTATCCTTTGTAAAATACTGTTGATTTTAAAAAATAAAATTGTGTAAATTTTACGGTTTGAATTAGATACGATACAGTAGTTTTTTTTAATGTACTCCAGCAAAAAGTTTGCAGAGGATAAGACAAAATATGAATTAGAGATGACTTCAGTGATGATTATAAAAAAAAATAATTACTTTGTTTACGGTTTATATCTACAATTTTTTCATAATAATCATTTATGTTGTTTTATTTGTTCATTTTATTTTATCTTGGTCTCCAAATATTTTAAATATCTTGAAATTTACGAATATATTTTAGTTTTCACTATAATTGCAATTGAAATAACAAATAATAACTTCTTTTTTCGCATAACGAGTACACTCGTCGTAACACAAAATATTGCCTTTTCTTCATGATGAATATAATTCTCAATCACAGCTAACTAGTTAAGTGTGACTGTTATATATTCCCTTTCCCAGTTCCCTGTTTTCTCTTCTGTATCTCATGACTATAATTTCCTTATAGAACTGGCGGTGCTGCGCACCAGTTTTATTGCACTGTTTCAGTTAAAATTTCTGCATAAATCATACAATAGATTAAACGGTAACCCCTTGCTGTATGATATCGTGGCAGACTAGTGATGAAAATTTTGAACTGAATTCAACGAATCTAAATGTTATTTATTTATTTCTAATATTATATAAATGAAATATTATAAATCTAAATGTTATTTCCTTTTTTAAAATCTAAATTAAATATTACTTTTCTATTATCAACGGTTAACCTTCGGTGTAAATGTAGACATAGAATAAGCATCAAATTCTTTTCCTTTCCCACGAAATTATTAACGATAAAGTATCTTTATCAAGCTTCGTTGTGAAAGAAATCATAGGGCAATGGGTTAAGAAATTGAACTAACAAACTTCAGAGAAATGTTACATTTAACTCCAAAATTATCGTCACAGGAAGCAGTTACAAACATTTCAAAAAAAGCTACATGAGAAAAATTCCACCGTCGTCATAAAATTCTGATGTGTAATGAAGGAAATCTAAGCGACATAATGCGAGCGAAAAATTCCGTCGCTCACACATGAGCGACATGAAATGTAGCAAAACAACAGTGTCTCTGACGTATGAGCGACATGGTACAGAATACATTAAAAATGTATATAAATACAGACAAACATACATAGGGATATACGATAAAAGTCTCGTAGAAAATCTTACAAATGTATTCCATCTCATTTTCCTCAAAATATCAACTAAAAGATGGGACCATTAAGGAAAAGTTCCAGTTGCTGCATCAGATGTTGCAGTATTGATAACGATTCCAAGCATCAAAACGTGGCTTTCTGAAT